GCCTAAGCCTTAACATTAACATTACAATTATTCTAATGATCTCCTGCAAAGCATACATAAGAATAGTAAGTAGAGTAATGGGAGTGAGATATGTCTCACTCTAATTTCCAATGTGAGATAAGGTCGGGAGGCCACACACATTATATAACATAAACATATACAATGAATATCGAGAATGTAAACAATATATTAGAGTTACTAGTAATAACAAAGACATATCAAATCACATAATGATGAGCAATTACAATTTATACACTTGAAGGCTAATACTTATATACGATTGTTTGAAGGCAAATATTCATGTACAGTTGTCCGAAAACCAATACTCATGTATGGTTAATACTCATGTACAATTATAAAACATTTTATACACATGATTTATGTCACTCATATACCATACTTTATACATCATTTCATCTCATGGACTTAAGTCATACTCGTATTATTCACTTAACACACCATCTTCATGTCAATCTCATGCATACAGTATCATTATACATTTTACTATTTGTCGTTATTTTTATTAAGTTTTGTGTTATCTTGATTTTTTGTTCAATTGTTGAAAACTTTGGAATTAAGTAGTTCCTTATGAGTTTTAGATGTTTAGAGGATTTCTCTAAGTAGATGTTTAGTTTGACCCTAAAGGGAAAGTTATATAAGGTTTCTTTTGAGAACAAAGCTTCATAAGTTCAATTCTTAAGAATCCTAAAAAGATAAGCTAGTGAATAGTGATTTAGTTCGAAGTTTCCTTATTCTTTCTTTGATCTTCTTGAGAGTGAGTGAATCTTCTCATAGAGGTGGCTAACTTGTTGTGTTTGGATTCAAGGTGTTGAAAAGTCTAGAATCAAGTTGTGAGGACCATGGTGTAGAGTTGCCTTGGTATGTGTTTTCTTCTTTCTTTTTCTTCCTCATTCCCTTCAATTTCAAGGTAAGGGAAGCTAGAGGTCAAATATGCTTGGGGATATGTTAAAGTGAATGATGGTGATATTCTTGTTGCATGTGGATTTCTAGTTGGATTTGAGTTGTATGGAATGCATATATATGTTGTAATATGTTGCATGTTGGAAATCTTTTGAATTTCAGGTGATTTGTGCCAAATTTGTGATTTGTTAAGCGTAGAATTCACATTTGTGTCAGGTACGCCTTTATGGCGTTGGGCGTGGTTTCACTTAGAGGTCCTTTGTCTTACACACATCAAGCGCAAGATTGGTGGCATCGGACATGAGGAAAAAGAATTATCTTGGGTTGAAATAACATTGGGTGTGGTTTGAACAATGTCGGATTTGAAGTGAGAGAATTAACTCTGCTTAGATTGGTGTCGGGCACCAAAGGAGTGGTGTTGGGCATAAGGAGAGAGAATCGCCTTGGGTTGGATTGGGGTCAGGTGTGGGACTTTGCCATGTTAGACATGAAGGTCCAAAGGTCTATACTTAATTCATGTCGGGCATAGGTTGTTTGACGTCAAACATGGGCGAGATAAAAGACTCCTTGACTTGATGGCGTCGGGCGTAGGGTGGATAGCGCTAGGCATGGGTGGCCTTAATTTAACTTGTTGTTTTATGATGAAACTAGTGAACATGTATAGAATAGTTGGATTTATTACGTGGTATATGATGATTAAGTTGTGTTATATGTTGTATATTAATGTATGGTGTTGAATATCTATACATTGATCTAGGATAATGTATAGCTCGTTAAATGGTTGAAAGTTGAGTTGAGTTGCATATTGTTTAGTTGAGTAACTATGTTGAGAATGTTTTGACATTAAAGTTGTACTGTGTTGATCAACCTAAAGCTAGAGGATGAATTGTCTTAACATTGCATATCCCATTGTGATGATATTGTGTTATGGTGCTCCAAGAGCCCAAATTGTTAGAAAATCCTTATTGGGAAGTTGACTTTTGAAGTGGATAGTTAAGTTTTCTCTAGGACCTTAGTTGATGTGGTATGCGAGTCAAGTTGAGACATACCAACTATAAGTGACCATTATTGATTCATATGTGAGTAAGGTCTAGATATACGTGTATAAAATGACCAAATTAGAGTAAGGTTTAAGGTTGGAGATCAAAATTCCTTACTAAGTACTAGAAGGGTGTAGTATTTGGAGGATAGTTGATGGGATGAGATCATAAGTGACTTAGTTATGTTAGCTAATGCCATGGTAGGCTCATACTCAAATTTTTTTACCTTGAAAAGAATACTAAACTTCTTAGTTTTAGTGGTGACATCCAAGAAATCATGTTATTAAGGGTTGGTATCCCAATTGGCTGTTGATCTAACTGGATTGAAAAGATCAGGTTATAGATTCAATAGGATCAAATTACTTAAACTACTCACTTGTATTGTAGGAGATCTCCTAATTGAAATGCGTAACGATGTATATAGTTGTTGTGTTGTGCATATATATGTTGACTAAGTTGTGTTGTTTATATACTATGTTGAATTATGATGAGTTGCATTGAGGTGTTGTTGTATTGTTCAAGTTGAATAACATGTTGTATTATGTTGAAAAATTGTAAGTTGATATTGTGTTGAGTTGCTTATATTGATAATATAGTTGTTTTACTTCTATAAATTATGTTGACTTTTTGAATATTAGTTTACTCTTACATGTTTTCATGTAGTTGCACTACGATGATCATACTTGATATGAGAGTGGAGCATAGATAGGTTATTGTTGGAGCTTTTTTTAAGGCCATGTTGGATGGTGGCAATGCAAATCTTTTGAGCTAATGGTGTGGCTAGTTGTTAGTAGTCTTGCTTGATTGACAACTAGAATTTCTTTCATACTTTAGTATCAAATTACTATATAGATATGTATACACTATATATGCTTTAGTAGTTGATAAACTTTTAATAGTACATGTATATATTATCATTTGTATATCCTGATATTACTAGTATGTTAATCCTAGTCCATTGTAGTTCTCTATTCTTCTGCTATTAGCAGTTGTGTTGTTAAGTGTAGTGACTTGACGAGTCATTATACATACACATCATCTCATCAATATCATGCATACATATCATTATCGTGTCATTCTTATATTATACATTAACATCTCCTATCACATTTAAAGTTCTCATATCATACACATCACATATAAACACTTCATATTGCATTCAAACACAAAGCCTCATACAAAAGGTCTCACAAACATAGTTTTGTATCTTTCTTATAACTCATTCACAAATATCCCCTCCCTTTCTCATATTAATATTAATATTCTAAATCATGATCCTAAGTCATGCCACTAAAACACCTCATTTAGAATCATCATAAGAAAATTCATCACTAATATAATTGTCAACATCAACTCACTTACTTCTTTATCATTGTTAATACAAGATTGTATCCTTAGACTAACCATTCTCAAGTCATCTCAAACTCATAAGTATAACTAATCTTAAGCAATGAAGGTGATAAAAAGGAGAAACAATAAGGAAAGAATGAAGAAAAAGCAACAAGATGTGTCACAACTGTGACTCATCGGTCATAATCGTGACTTGCTGGTCACACTTGTGATTAGGGCTAACCCAACATATTATTAGGCCTTAAGCAAATCTTCAAGTGAAACTTTTTTAAAATTGATAATAATATCTTTTGATAAAAAATAAAAATATTTTAAATATAGATCTTAAAAAAATAATTATATTTGTATATCTTTTAGAGATAAACATTTTAAATTGATTTTTAGAATGCAACAAGTGACTTTTAAGTTATGAAATCTTGAAAAAATTATCCATTACTCTATTAAGCCATCAATTACTCAAATCATCAATTTCGCATTCCTATATCATTCCCTATGGTTCCAAGATTTACAAGATTAGTCAGTTGCATGCAATTAAACGTATATACATATCAACAATACCAATTAGAATATTAAAGAATCGTATAGGAAGTAAAAACACAAGTTAAGTCAAAGTTTAAGATTTCTTCCTCATACAATGCATACAACAAAAAAGACATAGATAATCAATCTTACTACCCAACATACATCCTGCACCCAGAGACTATTCATTCTCTTTTTACCTTGGTGAATGCTAGATGAAGGCGCAAATTTTCAAAATGATCTCCAACAATCTTTGATTTTCTCCCTGTTCTTTGGAGTACAAAAAACGTAAAGAAATAATGAAAGTGTGAAATGTAAAAATGACGTAATTTTAAAAACTTTCCAACCTACATTTAACCCTTTAGAAAAACATTTTAACCATAATCACACTTTTCTGTCCTCAAATATTAAAACTTATGAATAATATATAAAATAAACATATTTCTCTAAACACAATTATAATTAAAACAAAATGCATAAAAAATTATAATAAAAATATATATTTTTCTCCAAATACTTATTACAATAAAATATCATAAACACATATATTTATCAAATAAATATTATACAAAAATAATTTCATAAAAAATTATTATTTAATTAAAAAATCTCATAATAATTAAAACCTCTAAAATATTTATAAAACTCATTTAATTAATTAAAACATTCTTTTAATAATTTAAAAAAACTTAAAATATCAGAATTAGAAGGTTCAAAAATGACAACAATTACATAACTAATAACCACTTGAGTGGTGATAAAAGTGGGAGATACAATAGGAGTAGTTATTACAAGAGTGTGTGAACAAATTTTGAATAATTACAGTTATAATGATATGTTTTTGAAAAAATGATAAAAATTAAAGAATAATTTGACAGGTAATTTTAAGGATAAAATTGTCCAACAAATATAAGATAATTTCCTTTAATAATAGAATAAATTAATAATATAGATATAATTAAAAATCATAATGAATTATATGCAAATTAGTAATTTAACCTGTCCATTAGATTAATAATATAGATACATAGAGATTTGTAACAAATTTCATTATAAATTAAATTTTAAAAAATAAAAAAAAAATTAAACCTTCTACACTTCTACAGCAACTACAACACCCGAAAAAGCAAACAAATTTGTTTATTTTAATCAACTTATCATAAAATAAATTAGTTAGCCTGCATCGAGAGAACAAGTCATTTCGCTATTCCGAAAGGCGGAGTTGGTCACGAAACTCGATTCGGATGAATTAGCAAAGAGCCTCGCCGGAGTAACCGATCCCCTTTCTTCCATCTCTCGCCGGAATCGATTCCGTTTATGAGCGGTGGCGCGCCGTTGATTTCACTGCAAAACCAAACCGATGGAATCACCGGGTAACGCCACAACCCGGATCCATCCCTAATTCCCGTTTCACCATCTTCGTATTTCATCATCGCTAATCGCGTTCTTCGTTCGCTTTCAGGTACTGCTCTGAGGGACACGTCGGTGATCGTGGTGACGCTGGACACCGACGAAGTCTACATCGTGGCGAGCCTCTCCACTAGAACGGACACTCAGGTAATCCACGTCGATCCAACCACCGGCGCTCTCCGCTACGGCGCCAGGCTAGGGTTCGATCTGTTCAGGTCGCAGAACGAGGCCTTGGACTCCGTCACCAACGGATCGCGGTTCGCGTTCAAGAGCAGGACGCTCGCGAGGGCGATACTAGGCTACGCCGCGCTGGGGAACGTGGCGCTGCTGCTCGTGGCCACGCGGCTGGTCGCCAGCGTTCCCAATTTGCCCGGCGGAGGGTGCGTGTACACGGTGGCGGAGAGCCAGTGGATCAGGATTCCGCTGCAGAACGCGGTGGCGCAGGGGAAGGGAGAGGCGAAGAACGTGTTGGAGTTGACGGAGCTTGATATTGACGGGAAGCATTACTTCTGCGAGACGAGGGACGTTACGCGCCCTTTCCCGAGCCGAATGCCGGTGCACCAGCCGGATCCGGAGTTTGTTTGGAACGGGTGGTTTTCCACGCCGTTTGTTGATATTGGACTGCCGCGGCATTGTGTCACGCTCCTGCAGGTTCTGTGATCCCTTCTGTTTACGTTTGAGGGAATGTAGTAGCATAATGCAATTTATAGGAGTGCTAGCAACAAATTTATTGAAAACTATAAAATCAGGAGTGAGATTCATTAAGTTAGGGACAAGGGTCGTACATTTTTTGTGATTCTTAACAAATTTTAGTCAACAGTAAAGAGTTTCTTAGAAAGAGAATGTTAGAGAGTGTCTTGCCAGTATCTCCCTATAATTTGTGTTGCTTGGTAGCTGAAAGTTTTTGGTATACCAAGAGATGAAATTGTTTGGAAGTTGATGTTTGTTGCATGATAGCGACAAATGATGGAAATAAATGAGTTTTCAGTTCGCTTTCTGAAAATGGCATTTGTTGTGTTTGACAAATTTGCATAGATGAGAGGTTTTAATAGACCAATGCAACCATTTTTGAAGCAAAAATTGTGTTTTTATTTGTTTTCTTTTGGAATTTAAATCCTCATACAATGATGATGGTGATGATCATCATGAAGGTGGACATATGTTTGATGTGTCATCTTGATGGCTTAGTGTGTGTTGGCTGTTAGTTTCTTTTTGTTGGATATTGGTTTTCTTTTCTTCCTCCAAGCTCGTGCAGGCTCTGTTTCAATTACTTTTTAATAGCAGTGTTGTACCAAAGATCACCCATATGTACAGCAATTAAGAGGTGAAATTCACGTGTGCATTCTGTTGTCTTACTTGGTCTTGATGTGTAGGGGTTTGCAGAATGTCGAAGTTTTGGAAGCTCGGGTCAACTAGAAGGTATTGTTGCTCTCACAGCTCGTCGGAGCAGGCTACACCCGGGTACTCGCTACTTGGCAAGGGGGCTAAATTCTTGTTTCAGTACAGGTGAAGATAACTATCATTGAATATTGAACTTACAGTTTTCCATTAAACAATGAATTGAGTGTGTGACCTATAGAATAGTTATCCGGCTGATTTTAGAAAATTTTTACATTAACTTAATCTCGTTTGATTATGATTTTCAAACTTTGCCATGTTTGTTATGGTTTCAGTAGCTCTAATAAGTTTTATTTATTCAATAGAACCTTCTTTTGCTTCCCATTGACATGCATTAACACCATTTCTCAAATTGGGAAAGCTCCACAAATAACTTATTTCACCCTAATTCCTTTTGTAGTGTAACTTTTGATTGCTGCTTCTTTCATTTTTTCATTATATTTTCTGTTTTTCCTTGATAAAAATTGTTTCATGTACCTTAGTATTGCCACATACCAAATGTTTATAAGGTTCCATTTGATAGGAAATGAAGTGGAGTGTGAGCAACTCGTGTGGGTTCCCAAACGAGCTGGTCAAAGTGTACCTTTCAACACATATGTGTGGCGAAGAGGTACTATTCCTATCTGGTGGGGTGCAGAACTGAAAATCACTGCTGCGGAAGCTGAAATTTATGTTTCAGATTGTGATCCATATAAAGGAAGTGCACAGTATTATGAAAGACTGAGTAAGAGATATGATTCTCGGAATCTAGATATACGTGCTGGTGAGAATTCAAACCGAAAACCTTTGGTTCCCATTGTATGCATTAACTTGCTTCGAAATGGAGAAGGGAAGTCAGAGTCCATTTTGGTTCAACATTTTGAGGAGTCTATAAACTTTATTAGATCAACTGGGAAGATTCCATATACTCGGGTCCATTTGATAAATTATGACTGGCATGCCAGTACAAAATTAAAAGGTGAACAGATGACAATTGAAGGGTTATGGAAACTTCTAAAATCACCCACTGTATCCATAGGTATATCTGAAGGAGATTATTTGCCTTCACGACAACGAATAAATGATTGCAGAGGTGAAGTTATCTACAATGATGATTTTGAAGGTGCATTCTGCTTAAGAACACATCAAAATGGGATAATACGTTTTAACTGTGCTGATTCTCTGGATAGGACCAATGCTGCTAGTTTTTTTGGTAGCCTCCAGGTATTCACGGAGCAATGTAGACGGCTGGGGATATCACTTGATAGTGATCTGGCATTTGGTTATCAGTCAGTGAATAATAATTATGGTGGATATATTGCTCCACTGCCACCTGGGTGGGAAAAGCGATCTGATGCTGTAACGGGAAAAACATATTATATTGATCATAATACCAGAACCACCACATGGATGCATCCATGTCCTGATAAACCATGGAAGAGATTTGATATGACATTTGAGGAGTTCAAGAGATCAACAATTTTGTCCCCTGTATCTCAACTGTCTGACCTTTTTCTACTTGCTGGGGATATTCATGCTACTCTTTACACTGGGTCCAAAGCAATGCACAGCCAAATACTTAGCATATTCAATGAAGATACTGGAAAGTTTAAACAGTTTTCTGCTGCACAACAGAATGTGAGAATCACTTTGCAAAGAAGATATAAGAATGCAGTTGTGGATAGCTCTCGTCAAAAGCAGTTAGAAATGTTTCTTGGAATGAGGCTTTTCAAGCATCTTCCATCAATTTCCCTTCAACCTCTACATGTATGTGACTTGCCAACTGTCAAAGTTAACTGAGTGATGGCTTTCTGTTTCTTTTTCATACATCAAGTGCCTAGCAATTGCAGTTTCATAATTAATTTCATGTTAGTTACTGAATCACATCTTCTTTCTCTTTTTAACAACTCCTTAATTTATATCACATCTTCCTGTCTCTAAATTTTGCTTATTCATGTCTGCTTTTGGGGGATTCCACTGCTAACTGTTGACTTGTAATGGCAGTTAATATAGTAGATTTTTTTTATTTTAAATGTTGGCACTTATATCCATGTGGTTTTCAATGGAAATGGACTAATAATTATCAATGACTAAGCTATCTGATCATTCTAGGTACTGTCTCGGCCAAAAGGTTTTGTTCTTAAACCAATTGCAAATTTATTTCCTATTTCTGGTGGTGAAGCGAGTCTTCTGAGTTACAAAAGAAAAGGCCTAGTCTGGGTATGTTAAATACTTTCGACTCTTCTACCACACATGAATTTTCAATAATATTCACCTGAAATTTTTATGCATACCCTTTCCTTCCACAGATTTGTCCACAGCCTGCAGATGTAGTTGAAATCTTTATTTATCTTGGTGAACCCTGCCATGTTTGCCAGCTTCTTCTCACAATATCCCATGGTGCAGATGATTCAACTTATCCATCAACAGTTGATGTACGGACAGGACGCCATTTAGATGGGCTTAAACTGGTCTTAGAGGTCTGTATATAGGCCTCATTGTGTCTCACTACTCGTAATATTCATGTATGCATAGTACTGCAGAAAGAGTTGGTCTTAACTTAATTATACTAACTGAACGGGAATAAGCCTTGTGCTCATGTATGTTGCATGCTGAAACACAAGTTTCTAATTGGAACATTTTGAAAGACATCTCAATTTTTAATTATTATTTTGATTGTTTAAATTCTTTATGATTTAATTAAGGTGATATCTGCTTCAATATAAAATCAAAATTTTGAAATTTAATAAGCAATGATTTATGTAGCTGTAGTGAAAGATAATTTTTCTTTTTATGGAGCTTATTTGAATATAGTTTTGACATTTGAGCCTGTCTGGCGACTATTTGCAGGGTGCTTCTATACCACAGTGTGCGAATGGGACCAACCTATTAATACCATTACCTGGGGCAATTAGTGCAGAAGACATGGCTATAACTGGAGCAAATTCTCGTCGACATTCCCAAGATGCATCACCCTTCTCATTACTGTATGATTTTGAGGAACTTGAGGGAGAGTGGGATTTCCTTACACGTGTTGTTGCGCTAACCTTTTATCCAACCGTTTCCGGAAGAAAACCATTGACTCTTGGAGAGGTAGATATTTTGGACAATATGATAACTAATGAGTCGTGGCTTGACTAACTATGATATTCTTTGGCATTTTTCATTAATTTTCCATGTGGGTTGCATGAATGTTCTATTTTGTCTTGCAGCCAATATAGATTGAAAGGTTTAGGGTTACATAATTTAACTGAATAGGTGAGTTTACAATCAATCAACATAGAATGAAATTCTTAATGTAACCTTAACTATATTTACTAACAATAGACACGTTTTTCTCTTGCAATCTGTATAACATTAGTAAATATGATTTAGATCCATTTGTAGGTTTCTTGGTTATAATGTATTGTGCAGAAATCTGTGACTGAAATTAAAATTTATTGGCTCTTTCTGCCCCTTTTAACTGGTGGTAAAATATCTTGTGCTCTTTATTCAAAAGTTTTCTAGCTAAGTCAATTGTTGTTTGTGAGTGTTAAATATATTGGAGTGTAACAATTCAATTCTCAGAAAATATTTCAGCCTTTCAAAAGTTTTTGTCTCAAATTCCTTAGTTAGATGTTGAATCAAGACTTGTTGCTTCTCTAAATCATCACCAGTAACGATAATATCATTCACGTACACTAACATTACACTCACAACCCCATCCCCTAAGGTTGAGTGTTTGATGAATAGTGTGGTCTACTTGGCTTTGATTGTATCCTAAGGCTGTCATGACCTTAGTAAATCTCCTGAAACATACTGGGGTGATTGCTTCAACTCATATAAAGCCCTTTTCAACCTGCAAACAAAATTGGCAGCAACTTCATATCTGGGAGGGACCTCAATATTGATTTCCTCCTCAAGCTCTCATACAAAATAGAGTTCTTCACATCAATATGATGTAATTCCCGGCATAATTTATAGCAAGAGATAAATATTACCCAAACTGTATTCATCTTTGCAATTGGAGCAAAGGTCTCGAGTAATCTATTCCATAGTTTTGAGTGAAACCCATAGCAACTAGCCTCACCTTTTCTCTTTCAATTGACCCATCTACCTTATATTTTACTGTATATACCCAATTGACTTCTTTCCTTTCGGCAAATAAACCAACTCCCACGCTTTGTACTCTTTCAATGCCTCCATTTTTATATCCATATTTTGCTTTCAAAGTTTCAATTTTCATCAGATAATGCCTCAAAAACATTAGTGGAAGTTGAGATTAAATTTATCTTTGTAAGAAAGGTTTTATGAGTTCAAGAAAATTTGTAAAATGAGGGATAATTTGAGAGAGGTTAGAGTGGCTTTTGTATGCATTTTTTAGTTCCTTTTCTAAAAAGAATTCATCATCAAGGTTTGGGATTTCTGTTTCATTTTGGTAAGTTGAAAGATTATCTTGTAAAATTGGACAATCAGAATTTGTTACAATATCTGAATGAGTTGGATTGGTCTTTTGGGCATCTATCAACTTAGAAATCACCTTCAATCTTGTGTAAACCAAAATTCTTTACAAACCTTGTATCATTTTCATGTTTCGTTGGAGCATCCTTATTAGATTTATTTTGAGTCAAAGCATCTTGTTCATGATCCTGTGAAAGATCACAAGAAATTAACTCGAGTGTGAGGGACAAGTGTTTCAGAATGAATTTCCTTATTATCTTCCGTAAGACTTTCCCCTTGAAGATAAGGTTAAGTGAAATAATTTGTTCCTCATGAAAGGTGACATCCCAGGACAGCTTTAGAGCTCATGAAAGAATTTCTTGGATGGAAGGTGATAATACTTATACCCTTTATGAGTATAGGAGTATCCAAAAAAGACACTTTAAAGCTATAGGAACAAGTTTGCCCTTGTCTTTACCATGCACATGGACAAAAGAGAACACCCAAAAATCTTTGGTGAAAGTTTACTAGAAGTAGACAAGTTAGGATAGAAAGAAGAAAAAACATCCATAGGACGCTTAAATTCCATGATTTTAGAGGGTAGTTGATTAAAAAGATATGCTGTAGTGAGAGCAGTTGACAAAAAGAAGTAATGAATTGATTAAAATGCCCCTTCCAATTGTCTTGCCTAAGTTTCTTTATTGATGCACCAAAGTAAAACCCTAGTGACCTGATTACAATCATCAATAAAAGTCACAAACCAACAAACCCCTTACACATTTGGAATAGGTGATGCCCCCAAATATCAGTATGATCAAGATAAAAAAGGAAATGTACTTTTCTTGCTACTTGATGCAAAAGGGACACACTTGTGTTTTTGTACTTTCATGGACATCACATTGAAGACATTCAAACTTTATTCCAGAAAACAAGGATGGAAACATAACTTTGGTGATTTCAAAAGAAAGAAGTCCTAACCGATAATGAAAGAGTAAGATCTATTCCTTTATTAATACTAGAGACTTTAACATGTACGAATGAGTCTGGCTTTTTTCTATAACGAGCACACATGGCTCCTCTAGAAGATAAAGGACATTCCCTTCTCTAGCACCCAATTGTCCTCCCTGATTCCTTGTCTTGGAAATCACAATGATTATTATTATGAAAAATAACAATGTAAGATATGTCGTTTGTAAGCTTTTGTACATAGACAAGATTTGTGGACTATGTTGGGACATGAAAAACATTTTTAAGGGTTATGAATGGATTTATCTGGGTGTTTCCTAAACCAGCTAAAATTACAAGAGTGCCATCTGCAATTGCTAATTTCTTATTACTGGAACATGGAGAATAGGCGGATAATAATGTAGATGATGGGGGCATATAGTTTGTAGCTTTAGAGTCGAGAACCCAGTGAGATGGGAGTGTTTTTGAGACATTAAATCCAGATGAAAGAGGAAGCATACATGAATAAGCTAAAGCAAGTACCTGACGTATTTTCGGGTTGATGGGATGCACAACCTCTCTTTCCATAGAGAACAAAGACCAAGAGAAGAGAGACAAGGTAATCAACTGTTTGTTTGGATGAAAAATTGGCACTATTCATGCAGGACAATAAACAATATCCGGAAAATTTGCCAGAAGTTTTGACAATCCTGAAAATTTTTAATGTTGCCAGAGAAGAAAGTAATGCAGTAAAATTTGGCAGCACTCGGTGCCCAATCAAGCTTGTAGGATACTGACACTTTAAGGGCCTGTTTAGACTTACGTTGTGGTTTTTTATTTCTGAATATGCTTTAGTTATCATTCCACTGAGCAGAATGAATTTTATTGATATTCAAAAGCATTACAAAGATAATTAATGCCAACATAAATTACAAGAGAACAATTAATAAACCACTACTTCCTATGATGCATTAAACCTAGCTATACCAAGTATCTAGGCAACTTGGAAAAATAAATATTAAACAAGTTCTTATTTTCTAAAGTATTCCTATTTCCAACAGTTTCCTTTTTTCTACAAATCAATTTTCAATTTGATGAACCAGAAATGTCTAAAATTTCAAGGTCTTGAAATTAATTTTGAAAATGTTAGTCTGGACATGTGCTCCAAAAGATGCAACTTAATTTTCAGTCTAATTTGATGCGAGACCAACGGTTTAATGCTTTAGTGCTTTACTTGCATTGGTGCTATCTTCATCCTTGTGCCTATTATTTCACTTGTTCACTTAATTTTCTCTTCTCTAGTTGTATTTTCTAGGTAGGCATGTAAATTTGGGTTATGTAAATTTTTAATTGCTGCTATATGATGATGTGGTTTGGTTATAGATTGAAATCCTTGGAGTCTCTCTTCCTTGGAGTGACGTATATACTAATGAGGGCCCTGGTACAAGATTAGTTGAGAATGTCAAGAAGTTTCAAGAGGAGCCTAATCCCTTTTTATCTGGTTCAGATATGAATCCATTTAATCCTTCATCCACAGAAAAAGTGTCACCACCCAAGCAAGGCGGCACTTCTGCCGACCTTTTGATGGACCTGTTGTCTGGGGATGGCCCACTTGCACATCCACTTGCACAGCCAGTTACTGAAAATGTTGCCTACCAGGAAAGTGACCCACTTGATTTCTTGGACCTAAGTGTTGAAAATCATAGTGATGGTAAAGTATCATCAGAAGATGCCAGACATTCAGATGGTACTGCTGAACAATATTTAAAGTGCCTTAAAACTGTTGCAGGGCCAAGTCTGGTAATTTTCTTTTCTCCAAAACATTCTTTCTCTCCTCATGATGAATGTTCCTTACATTAATTTTTTCATTATTGCTGTTGTTGTCGTCAAATATAATTTCATGACATAATATTTTGATGTAATTACTGCTGTCTATGGATTTTATTTGAATTTGGTTTCTCTATGTTCCCTCTAATAAAGGGTAGCAAAAAGGAAAAGGAATTTTATTCAAGATTGTTGTTTGTGATCAGATTCCGCACAGTTTTCTTGTAGGAAATATTCTCTCTTAAGTGTGAATTTTGACATGTCTTTGCATCATACTGCAGTCGCTTTTGTCTAGATTAAAATGTTTCATGTTTTTTTGGTAATTGCTGTATTTCAATTGAACTTGGAGCAATTTTTATTGATTAATTTAGAGGTTTTGGAGAAGCAAAGAGGGCCATATTTTGTGATGGTGTGCAGATTTTGGAGTTCTCTGGTGTATTTGGTTGGAGTGGAAAATGAGATAGGGTTTTATGTGGCTTGCTTTTGGTGCTATGCTTATGAGCTCTTGTAGGGAACTTCCCTATTAGATTTGTGGAGCGGTTGGAGTGTTTTATTGCACTGACAAGCTTGTTTGATTTTACTGTTTCCTTTTCTTGTTTTCCTTGATAAGAAAGAAACCTTATTCTACTTTTTAATTTGAGTAAACCCCTTAAATTAGTCCTTGTTATTAATTATGTTTTGTAGCAAAGAAAAATTAACTTCATTGAAGCCATGGAACTTGAGATTGAACGCCTTAAGTTGAATCTTTCTGCTGCTGAAAGGGATAGAGCCCTGCTATCTGTTGGAATGGATCCTGCAACCATAAATCCTAATATGCTGCTTGATGATGGTTACATGGGAAGATTATCTAAAGTTGCAAGCAACCTTGCCCTGCTTGGAGAAGCTTCTCTTGAAGATAAACATCTGGCTGCTATTGGTCTTGGGTTTGTTGATGATAATCCAATAGATTTCTGGAACATTATAAGAATTGGGGAAACCTGTTATGGTGACAAGTGTGAGGTGCGTGCTGAAATTAAAAAGGCAGTTCATTCATCTAACACAATGTCATCTGCCGGTACTACAGAAACTGTATTCTTGTGTTCTCAATGTGAAAGGAAGGTTTGCAGAGTTTGCTGTGCTGGGAGGGGGGCATTTCTGCTTGTAGGACATAACTCAAGAGAGGTCATGAGTTACAATGGTGCATCAAGCCAAAGTGGTCTAGTTGACTCACCTGTAAATCGTTTATTAGCTCGGGATGGTATAATTTGTAAAAGGTGTTGCCAGGATGTTGTGCTTCACGCATTGATTTTGGACTATGTGAGGGTTCTGATTAGCTTACGAAGAACAGAACGCGTGGAAAAGGCTGCTTGCACTGCTTTGAAACAAATCATTGGATCATCTTGGGATTGTCTTCTGGAAAAGAATCGGGCCTGTGATAGCAAGTCTGCTGGCAAAGAAGTACAGTTGTTACTAAACGGATATGAATCCTTGGCTGAATTTCCTTTTGGCAGCTTCTTACACCCGGTATATACTTTTAACTATATATTTTGAGTTTGGGCCCTGCTGCATTTTGTTTTACTTTTTCATTTAAATTATCAAGCCACATGCTGTTGCATCTACCAAAAATGTGTTTAATCCATGTAATATGACTTACATCAACAGATGCATGCACGGATTTTAATAACAATTATCTAAATGATTTTAATATTTGATTGAATCTTGTTGCAGAAGGAAAGAAAGCACGGATAGAACTAGTAGTCTAGTACAAGAACTTATGGTTTAAGTTTCCGTTCAAAGAATCACACTAATTTTAACCGTGAAATTGAAAGAATTGTGTAAACACTTTATTTGTAGCTGGATTCTCGAGTACAATTAAATGGCTTAACTTTGCTATACCGCTAGAGCTTAATTAATGATTTTCAAGTGATATTTCCCAAAAACATGGTAAAAAATAATACAAGCCAAGTTGTCTGGAAAAGATTTAAAAGACTGGCAAATACCGAAGTAAATCTATCTACTGTTAATTATTTTGGAAGCTTTCTAACATGATTATTGATCCATTTTGAGTGAATTAATCAACTGTGGCTTATGATTATCCTCGTTGTACTAATTGCACGTTAAGTGACGTGTTATGGGGTTAATTTGTGTTTCTATTATGATTTAGCAATAGAAAAGATGTTTTTTGCTAGACTGGGGAGCCAATATATCTGGTCCTTCAAATGCCGGTCTAGTCCCATTTTTGCAACCTATATATATGTTATAACCGTTAACCATGCAATTGCAGGTAGAAACAGCATCAGATTCTGCTCCATTTTTGTCATTGCTTGCTCCATTAAATTCTGGTTTGCGGCTATCATTTTGGAAAGCTCCATCCAGTGCCTCCTCTGTTGAATTTGGAATCGTCCTTGGTAGTATTTCTGATGTTAGTGGGGTTATATTGATTGTCAGCCCATGTGGCTACTCTATGGCTGATGCTCCAATTGTAAGTATCCATTTAATTTGCTTTGTGCTTTATTTTTCTTTTATTATTCATTAAATTTAGAATTTAACGCTAGGATTATGTTGGCCCAGGTGCAAATTTGGGCAAGTAACAAAATACACAAGGAAGAAAGATCATTAATGGGAAAATGGGATCTGCAATCTATGATTAAAGCCTCCTCAGAATTATATGGACCCGAAAAGTCAGGAACCGAGCATAAGGTGCCTAGGCATGTGAAGTTTCCCTTCAAGAATTCTGTTCGGTGCCGCATAATTTGGATAAGTTTGCGCCTTCAGCGACCTGGTTCAAGTTCTATAAATATTGGAAATGACTTCAATCTGTTGTCTCTAGATGAGAACCCTTTTTCACAAGAAACTCGACGGGCATCGTTTGGAGGATCTGCTGAGAGCGAACCCTGTCTTCATGCCAAGAGGATTTTAGTGGTGGGAAGCTCCATTAGGAAGGAAGTTGATCTTAAGCCACAACAAAGCCCTGACCACTTGACTCTGATAGGGTGGTTGGATAGAGCTCCACAGCAAAATAGGTTCAAGGTAAAATCTATGCTATTTTGCTTAATCCATTTGTGATAACCATTTTTATTTTTCTCCATCTCAAAAACATTGATAAACATCTTGTTTTCTTAGGTTCCAATTGAGGCTGAAAGATTGATGGACAATGATATTGTCCTGGAGCAGTATCTGTCTCCTACGTCTCCCTTGCTTGCCGGATTTCGTCTAGATGCCTTTAGTGCAATCAAGCCTCGGGTTACCCATTCACCTTTTTCAGATGCACATAACAAGAATTTTCCATCCCTTGTGGATGACAGATACATCACTCCAGCTGTATTGTATATTCAAGTATCTGTTCTACAGGTATTTACTGGAACATTTTCATACTGCTTCTGTCACTTTCATCCATGGAGGTTCTCCTTCCACGAATCACTGTTTTGGAAAAGCTCTGATTTTGTGCACCTAATTTTTTTTCTTGCCATGGTTGTTTGGCACCTGCACCAAAATATGTAGAATGAATTTTAAAATAAGGAAAAAGCATCAATATTTATTTCACAAAGCGCTGCCATATTTTTTGTTTTATTTTTTTATGATATCCATGAAGTAGCATAGTGTTCTTGATTTTTTTTTTCTTTGAACTAGTAGAAATATTGTTAATTCATTGTTTTGTAATTAAGTTCCTAGTTACACTTAATAGAGAGTTTTCTTTTTCATAAGGGGAAAAGTTCAAAGTCAAGTTTTAAAAATTTTTCTAAACCCTACTTATATATCTTGTCATAAACCAATAATTCCAAAATCTTAAGCTGTAGGTGAAGGAATATAAATGATTTTATATTACATGTCTAAGAAATATAAAATATCTATACCTTTGGGGCGTAAGGCATAAATATTACATAATGCATGGGTGCATGGTCACCTACATTGTGGTCAAAATTTAATGTAATTTTTATTAGAAAGGGGCGATCAGGATTGATTTCTAGACCTCTCGCTCACTAAAGGCTTTGATAACTATTCCATAAACTTAAGCTGTTAAATAAAGCATATGAATTTTTTTTATTACATGTTTAACATCTACACAAACACACATTTGAATTATTACTTTTTATTCATCTTCTATGGGTGAAAACAACCTGACTGCTTTGATTGATTGCAGGAAAACCATAGCCTGGTCACCATTGGTGAGTACCGATTACCAGAGGCCAGAGCTGGAACACCGTTGTACTTTGATTTCTCTAGGCAGATACAAACTCGAAGAATTTCCTTCAAATTACTTGGAGATGTTGCAGCTTTTACGGATGACCCATCAGAACAAGATGATTCTGGCACTAGAATTTCTCCATTGGCAGTAGGGCTATCTTTGTCTAATCGAATTAAGCTGTATTACTATGCTGATCCATATGAACTTGGGAAATGGGCTAGCCTGGGAACAGTTTAAGTACACGCTATCCCTTTGGTTATTACATTGATTGATTGTGTAAACTTTTTCACATTTTGTTGTATTATGGTATGTAAAGTTCATTCATTGATGTAATAGTATTATAGGATTATTCTATTAGGAACACTACTAATGTTATTTCTGGACGTTTGATCGAGGTTGGAGGTTCAATTTTAGTAGTTATTTAGTTTGCCAAAAGGGTGAATTTCATTTTTGACTCATTTATCTTCAATGTATTTGTTTCTCTCAAATTTTTCCAGATCTTGTACATGTGCACTAGAGTAGTCTCTGGCTGAAATATTTTTCGTTGGATTTAATTTTTTAGTTGAAACTGGCAAGCTGACGAACACTTGATCCTAAAGCATAATTTCTTATTATCCTTCTGTTATATATTATTCATGCAGCCTTCTCATTCCCTCATCTCGGTGATCCTCTTGCGGGAGTATGGATGATGGATATGGTTATTGATCTTTAATGAACCCTTATAATAACGGTTTGGCACCTTAAAAGCATATGCTTCGTTTCAATACAAAAAAACGTGTCATATGCACAGAGCAATGGCCAAGGTGGGGAGGGTCCACAGTAGACAAAGCGATGGAACCTTATCTGGAATTAGCCAATGAAGTTCCACAATCAAATCGCCCACTGATTCAAACAATATCCACTCCTTGCTCCTGTCCGGTCTAACGTTACCGACTATTTTGCAATTTCGTGTCACGAGATAACCCCTCCAAAACTCGAAAACTTTTGTTTTAAATCAACAAACATATTGCCTGTCCCTGGTTGTTTTTGTTTTTTTCATTCCAGAATAGGAAGCAATGGCTCATTTGCTGACACCAACCCCTGCCACTGCTGCAACAGCTCTCTCCTCGAGAGCCCGGAAGAGCCCCCTCTCTTGGGAAAATGGTTACTTTCCAACTCCAAGAGTGTGCTGCGTTGGTTACCAATCTCATTCTCAGCCCTCTTCCATCTCTCCTCCCCGTGACGACCACTCTCTGCGTCGCAGGTATCTCTCCTTCATAATCAGCTTCAGCTGCATTACTTAGAATAATTCATAAGTTGTTGAATGGTGCATTGGTATTGCAATGTTGCACGCAGGATACTGATGGGGTTGAGTGGAGCGGTAGTGTTGGGGTGGAGTTTGAGTGATGAGAAAAGTGCAAGTAGAGCTGCAAGGCCTCCACCGCCTCCACCGAGGGAGAAAAAGGATCCGAATGTGAGTGGTGTTCAGGCTAAAGTATTGGCTAGCAAGAGGAGAAAAGAAGCCATGAAAGAAGAAGTGGCCAGGCTAAGAGAGAGAGGGAAGCCTGTTAACAAGGAGCCACCATCTCCACCTCCTCCTCCTGCCCCTGAATAGGTTTCTACATGTTTAACCTTTCTACATTCTCACTTATCAACGGTTGATCTTATTGTTGTATTGCTATTATCGTTCAATTGAATAAGACCTTTTCGCTCAACACTTTTTATGGTGTCAAAGGGCATTCATTTACAAAGCTAGATGGTTTCATTTCACCATTCTAATTGAGTAATCGTTAATGTACATGGTATATACAAGTTAATTTATACACGATTGATTTTATTTCTCAACAAGTTAACTTCTATTAAACATTTCATTAATATCATAATACTATTAATCACTTACCTTACAAAATTAATCATTTTTAACATTTCAATAACCTCATGTGTAAAATAAAAAACTCGTAACATTATTAATCCCACATCGATGATTGATGTAACTACGTCCATTTTTTATTTATTTATAATTATTGGTGACAAAAGTTAATCATATTTATATGTCTTCATAACATTATCAATCACTTGAGGCAAAACTCTTCATTTTTCCATGCTAACACCTATCAATAAACAATAATCTCATAACATTATCAATCATTTTTATAATGTAAAGTTTTTATTTTTCTTATAACTTTTGTACCGTAAATATTTCAATGTCATAACACTATCAACCATATATCGATAATTATAACAATCAAGTTTATTCATTTTTCACCATTTATGAAACAAAATTAACTATATTAATCCATACAATTAACTACGTATCTAAGTAAGTGGATGTTGGGAGTAAAATTTTCGGATGGACATTGATTTTTTTTCTTCTTTATGAAATCAAGAAAGAAAAATGAAGAGAAGACTCGTGTGAGGGCGAGGAATGGGAAGAATAAAACGAAAAAAATGCACATAACGTTTAATTTGGGACTTGTAAAATAAATAAAAATCGTAGTATAATGATGATATTATTGAAAGAAATGGGAAAAAAGAAAATAGTAGTATTGTGTTGGTACAGGTTGAGTGCTTTTATGATATCTAAAAGACTAGTGGTTGGAGTTGGGTAGTTTAACATATGACTCTAGATTTGTACCTCAGTGCCTTCTGAATCATAGTAAATTCAGGTCTATCGGTACTAGGAGGTGGAATTTGACTGGACAGTATAAGTGTGGGTTGTCCAAAAAGTGAATTGGGCCAAACTATTTCAATGAATCTGCCCTGAGCAGAGGTTGCGAGCCAAACACACAACAGAATGATACCCAAATGCTCTGCTCCACCTCAGTTTCAGACCTTGACCGGTCTCCGACAACTCGCTGAAACGCGCCGTTTCAAGGTCTCTCTATTTCCTCAATCAATCATAGCTTAGGGTTTCAACATTTCATAATTCATACCCACACAAATAACATAGTGAGATGCTAATATAATGTCACAGGTATGGTTGTTGGACCAGTTCGGAGTCCTTCACGATGGAAAACACCCTTATCCCGCTGCTATTTCAACATGTACCTATTATTATTATTCTACGCTTTCCCTTTTCTTAATTGTTTTTCTCCTCTTACGCTCTCATACTAATCTCGCTTTTCTTCCAATAGTAGAAAATATAGCCAAAACGGGTGCTAAGATGGTCATCATTAGCAACTCCTCGAGACGATCATCAGTCACCATTGAAAAAGTGAAGGGTCTTGGATTTGATGCCTCTCTCTTTCTGGGAGCCATCACTAGTGGAGAATTAACTCACCGCTACTTGCAAAGGTCAGAATAAAAACCAATCAATACTCATTTTTACATGCCTTTGCTTTAATGAGTTTCTGTCTAGACCCTTGTTCCTATTCTTCGCTGCACTTTGCTGCGTTTAATTGCAATGCTTTTTGCTTGTGACAAAATGTTTACATGTACGTTCAATCATCAATTTTCAATTTTGTCATTGTGTATTTTAAACATCTTTTTTTATCTTAGGTTAGGGTAAATTGTTGTGTTTTCAAACAGGAGAGATGATCCTTGGTTTGCAGCATTGGGAAGGTCTTGCATTCATTTCACCTGGAATGGCCGGGGAGCAATATCTCTTGAGGTGGGTACAACATCAATGCTTTCTTTCTAGCTTCACTTCTCGTATTCACCATATTCAATTGCTATTTGCTACTCCCTAAATAATATTGCTTGATGCTTTGAGTAATTAGTTTCTTGGGAAATTAAAGGAGTAAATGTGGAGTATAGTTGCAGTATTAATTAGTATGCTTACAGGGGGTTCTTTTCTTCTTAACTGATTGAAGGAAGTGAGGAATTTGATTTGTGCTAAACATGACATTACGCGGGCTTTTTTCATTTTTATCCAAATCAAAGTCTAATGATTTTTCAATTATCAGTGACATGGAGAAGATATATGTAATGCATATGAAATTATTGAGTTGAATAATGTAAAGATGGTTGCAGAGAATAATATACATCAAGGGCTTTAAAATCTTACAGCATATGAATGACTTCATCTAGGGCTTAGATTTGCAAGTTGTGGAGGATGTTGAAGAAGCTGAATTTGTTTTGGCTCATGGTACTGAAGCCTTGGGAAGTGCTGATGGCAGTGCACGTTCAATGACACTTGAAGACCTAGAGAAAATATTGGAGCGTTGTGCTGTCAAAGGAATTCCTATGGTGGTAGCCAATCCAGATTATGTGACTGTTGAAGCAAGAGATTTGCGTGTGATGCCTGGTGAATTTGCTTTATCTTCTCCTTTAAACAAACCAAATTTAAAAGTTTAATGCCTAAATAGTAATTACAAATTACTTTTTAAATCCAAAGTTACAGCATAAGTTTTCTGTAGATGACATTGCTATTAGTATCATGTTACGTGTTTTTTGATTAGGTTCCTTTTTTTCTTTCAAGTTTCGCCTTATACAAATATTGTGTGTAAATTTATGCTTACTAGGTACACTGGCAGCTAAATATGAAGAGCTAGGGGGTGAAGTAAAATGGATGGGAAAACCTGATGAGGTGACGCAACTGTTTCTATGCGAATAATTATTAATTCCATTTTGGTAGTTGTTTTCTTCTGTATATAATCTATGCTTTTAGTACCTAGACTGCTTAGATTTGACACACTCTATGATACAAGTAAGAATACGTTTACTGCACTTATTAACTTGTCAATTTATTCCCTGACTGACTTTATCATATGATACACAATTCAAGTATCACCTTTCAAAATTACTGAACCGCT